GGGGAAGGCCTCGGCCTCTCTGCCCTGGTGTTGGCCCTCCTGAGGAACTGGTTGGCCACTGTGTCAGACAGGATGCTGGACTAGATGGACCCTCACTGGTCTGACCCAGCAGGGCTCTTCTGACGTTCTTCTCAGGGGAAGGCCTCAGCCTCTCTGCCCTGTTGCTGGCCCTCCAGAGGGACTAGTTGACCGCTGACTGAGACACGATGCTGGACTAGATTGGACCCTCCCTGGTCGGTCCAGCAGGGCTCTTCGGATGTTCTTATTCAGGGGAAGGCCTCAGCCTCTCTGCCCTGTTGCTGGCCCTCCAAAGGAACTGGTCGGCCTCTGTGTGAGACCAGATGCTGGACTAGAGGGACCTTCCCTGGTCTGACCCAGCAGGGCTCTTCTGGTGTTCTTATCAGGGGAAGGCCTCGGCCTCTCTGCCCTGTTGTTGGCCCTCCAGAGGAACCGGCTGGCCACTGTGTGAGACGGGATGCTTTACTAGATGGACCCTCCCTGGTCTGACCCAGCAGGGCTCTTCTGGTGTCCTTATCAGGGGAAGGCCTCAGCCTCTCTGCCCTGTTGCTGGCCCTCCAGGGACGTAATTGACCGCTGACTGAGACACGATGCTGGACTAGAGGGACCCTCCCTGGTCTGGTCCAGCAGGGCTCTTCGGATGTTCTTATTCAGGGTGCTGCTGTCATCACTAATGTCCCTTCCGCATTGATATTTTGGCCATAATAGCAAAACAAAGGTGGGTAGGAAGGAAGGAAGGGGAGAGGGAAGGCCACAACACTGCCCCAAATCCAGCGCTACCAACCCCCACCCCACCCCGGGCTTATTTCTTATGCAGAAGCATCCAGAGAAGAAGAGGAGTCTTCTCTTGGCGCCACTGAAACCTCCCGGACAGAAGGAGCTGAGGAGGAGGTGAGGGGCGCGAGTCCTCCCAGGGTCTGTGGCTTGAAATGGCCTGTCCTGAATTGTCGATTCTTGACTTTCCTGGTGTACTTTCCGATTCCAGCCTTCGGGAACTGTGGTGGGGAGTGGAGATGGTCTGTCCGAAAGAGAGAAGCATGCGCGCTACCACAGCATGGTATGTGAAGACACAGGGGTCCCCCCCCCGGACCTTACCTGACGGGGTGGGCAGGGAGCTCTCTGAAGCCTTTACGAATTCTCCTTTGACTTCTTTGGGTGAGGTCAAGAGGTTATGCGAGTAAAGGGCTCAGGACTTGGGAGTCTGAATTTCGGGGGTGGGGGCGGGGTTGTGAGGTCACATACGGCCACACACAGGAGGCTGCCTTCTACAGAATCAGACCTTTGGTCCACTGAGGTCAGTTTTTGTCTGTTCAGACTGGCAGTGGCTCTCCGGGGTCTCAGAGGCCCGGTCCTTTTAACTGGAGATGCCAGGGATTGAACCTGGGGCCTTCTGCATGCCAAGCAGAGGCTCTGCCCCGGAGCCACGGTCCCTTGCCAGTCTTATGAACCCCTATGAAGCTGCCTTATGACGGAGGGAGCTCCCGTCTCTGGCCCCAGCTCCTGCCAACCTAGCAGTTCGAAAGCAAGAAATTGCAAGTAGATAAATAGGGACCGCTTTGGTGGGAAGGGAACAGCGTTCTGTGTGCCTCGGCGTCTAGTCGTGCCGGCCACATGACCATGGAGAAGTCTTCAGACAGCGCTGCCTCTTTGGCTTGGAAACGGAGATGAGCGCCGCATCCCTAGAGTTGGATTTGACTGGCTTTTGAGCAAGGGAAACCTTTACTTTTACCTACACGGAATCAGATCTGTAGTCCATCAAGCTCAGCATCGTCTACTCAGACTGTCACTGGCTTTCAGGCAGGGAGGTCTTTTGCATCACCTGCCACCAGTGTTCCCTCTAAGTTGAGTTAGAGTGAGCTAGCTCACAGTGTTTTAGGCTCCGGCTCACACATTTTTGTCTTAGCTCAGGAAGGGATGGCTCCAGAGCAAACTAATTTATGTGGCAGCCAAATCGCTCGCTCACAACTTTAATGCCAGGAGCTCACAAAGTAGAATTTTTGCTCACAGGACTCCACAGCTTAGAGGGAACATTGCCTGCCACCTGGCCCTTTTTAACTGGTGACGCCAGAAATAGAACCCAGGACCTTCTGCATGCAAAGTAGAGGCTCTGCCACTGAGCCACGGCCCCTCTGTCTAGGGTGAGATCTAGAGCCGTAGACCATTAGGTCAGTATCCTGGGTCACCTTCCTGGCTGCAGACCAAATCGCACCTGTCCTAGGTACGTTCAGGTGTTTGAGAGAGGAGGCTGGCCCAGGCTAACCACCGCTCCCCTCCTGCCCCCCAGGTGGAAGAGTGGGAATGCCGGCAATTGCAGGAGACCCTCCGCCTGGACGACCTGCCCATGGACCCCGCTCCTTACCGCCTGCTGGAGAAGGAGACGCTTTACGAGGTGGGGGGGCGGAGGTTTCTGCCGGTTGGGGGGGGAGCCCTCCTGGCCCACAGACTCCCCCAGGGTCTTGTTGCGTGGCCATAGAATCCCCACCAATGCTCATTCTGGGAGTTGCTAATTAATCTGGGTGGGAGAATGGGAGGATGCGAGTGATTCGCGGCACCAGGACACGAGGCGACCGATGCCAAGGCCCCCTGGTCCCTCTCTCGTCTGCCCCCCCACAGTGCCACGATCTCTTCAGCCTCCTGGGCCTCCACATCGCTTACGTGACCAACATGGGCCGCCTGGTTGGGGTGGTCAGCCTCAAGGAGGTGAGTGCCGGGGGGTGGGGGGTGGAAGCACAGGGGACCTGGAGTCTCCCAGAGTATTCTCAGGAGCCTCAACACCCCCCTGTGGGCCTGCCGGGGGGGGGGTCACTCTCCAGAGGAGGTAGAGCCAGAAATGGTTTCAGGGAGTTTGGGTTGACAGGAACACCTGAAGCTGCCCCCTGCCGAACCAGACCCCCCCTGGGCCTACCAGGGTCAGTCTCGCCCACTCAGACTGGCAGCCGCTCTCCAGGGTCCCAGCCAGAGAAAGGTCTTTCCCACCCCCTGACCCTTTTTAACCAGAGATGCCGCCGGGGATTGAACCTGGGTCCTCCTGCATGCCAAGCAGAGGCTCTCCCACTCAGCCACGGCCCCTCCACTGTGCAGGGCTGAGTTCCGATCCCCACCCTGAACCTCTCTGTCTCTCTCTTCCCTCCCGTCAGCTGAAAAGTGCGGTGGAGGGGTGCGTCAATGGCACCTTTGCTAGCCGTGCCCCACAGCGGTCGCCGGGGCCCGAGGACGAGCAGGAACTGAACGTGCGGGGGGACAGCCGGCTCAGCAGCTCCCTGGTCTAGGGGGGGCACGTGGATGGCGGAGCTGCGCATTCGTACACCCCCCCCTGGTGTCGCCCAGTTCGCTTGGCTCCCTGCACTCCCTCACTGGATCATGGGTGACGCTTAGAGAACGGGAGGCTCTTGGGAGTGGCTGATTTTTCTGAACTTGGGGGGGGGGGCTTAAAAGCCAGTGGGGTGTAGCGGTTAAGAGTGTTGGGGTACGATCTGCGGCACCCGGGTTCGAATCCCCGCTCTGCCCAGGAAAGCTGGCTGGGGGACCTCCGGCTAGCCACTCTCTCCACCTCATCTCTCTCTCAGAGCCAGTTTGGTGCAGTGGTTAAGTGCGCGGACTCTAATCTGGGAGCACCGGGTTTGATTCCCCCACTCCTCCACTTGCACCTGGCTGGATGACCTTGCGCAAGCTGTAGTTGTGACAAGAGCTGTTCTTGAAAAAGAGCCGTTTCTGTCAAGAGCTCTCTCAGCCCCACCAACCTCATACAAAGTGCCTGTTGTGGGGAGGGGACGGGAAAGGAGTTTGTGAGCTGCTCTGAGACTCCTTTGGGTAGTGTAGTGAAAAGCGGGGTATAAATCCAATCTCCTCCTCCTCCTCCTCCTCCTCCTCCTCCTCTCAGGGGCAAGTGCGAGGACAGGAGGGAGGAGGGGGGAACCACATCTGGCCCCCGTTGTGGGGAGAGAGGCAGAGTATAGATGACAATACTGTAAGCGACGTTGAGTCCCCGGTGGGGGAAGGAAGTGGGGTATAAATATCTAAATGAATAAAAATGCATGGCAGAAGATTTGAGACACGATTCCAGACTGAGCAAATCAAAGGTCGGGAACTGTAACGGGGGGCCCGGGGGGGGAGTGGGATTTGGACAGGATCAGGCCCCCCCACCATACTGACCAGATGAACTAGGCCAGGCATGAGGGCAGCGGAGGACATCAAGAGCGGGGGCCACCCGTGCAGAATGCCTCGACTACCAAGAGTTTTCTCCCGAGAGACTCTGGGGAGTACGGCTGGCAGTGGGAGAGCGGCCCACAGGCCTCCTTTGTCGCGGCAGGAGCTGAACCTGGCCTAGGCGGGCCGGCACGGCTGGCCAGGGAGAGCTCCTTCCCAGAAGGACGTTTAGGCTCCTGGTTGTGACTTCTGAGGATGGTTGACGCAGGTGGGAGAGCCCAGGAGGAGAGTTTGTCAGCTGCTCGGGAGGGCTGCGTCCAAGGCGGCCGTGCCAGCCTGCTGTAGCCAATCAGTGCCTCCCCGGGAGACACCCCGCCCGGCATCTTCCACTGGGTCCTCCTGACCTGCCTTGAGGGGTGGAGCCAAGTCTGCTGACTCATCACTCTCCGTGTTGTTTTTCTGAGGTTGCCCAAGATTGGTAGGCTTGCTTGCCAACCTCCAGGTGGGGCCTGGCATTTCCCTAGAGTTGCAGCTGACCTGCGGAGGACAGAGATCAGTTCTCCTGGGGGTGTGTGGGATGGCTGCTTTGGAGGGCAAGTGGGGTGGCATGAGGCTCCGCTGATGTCCCGGCCCCTCTCCAAACCCTGCCCTCTGCGGGCTTCACCCACCGAGTCTCCATGGAATTTCCCGGCCTGGAGATGGCAGCCCTATTTGCAGGGCTGACTGCACTTGGGATGTGTCCTGTGCCGCTTTGTTACGTACCGATGGGAGTCTTCTGTACTCGATGGAACAAGACGAGGAGGGGCAGCGGCTGAGTCCGAGACCCTCATCTGCTCCTCGGATTTGCACCCATTTTGCTTGGCTGTGGTGGCTCCCAGGGTGTGTGTGTGTGTGTGGGGGGATGTTCTGTTACAAACCCCTTGCTGGCACCACCGCCCACGTTGGCACTGCCCTGCCAGAGCTCCCTAGGGAACAGGTGTGATCAAGCCGTTTGGGGCTGTCCTTCAGCATCTGGAATCTCTGATGGGCGGCAGAAGCAACCAGATGCTGCCCCCCCCCATTTAATAGTTGCCGAGACAGGGACTTGGGGGGTAACAAGCCCTATGTGTGTGTATATATATTTTAAAAAACCACATTTATTGTTTTGCCAACACCAAAACTGAAAACCATAAATCCAGCAATCCAGTAAACATGACCACACAGCTGACGTATAAAATGTCCGGGTGGGTTGGGGTCACTGTTCCCTCTAAGCTGAGTTAGTGTGAGCTGGCTCACAGCTTTAGCCCCCGGCCCACACGTTTTTGCCTCAGCTCAGGAAGGGATGGGGCTCCAGAGGAGACTACTTTTTGCAGAGCAGCCAAACCGCTCGCTCCCAACTTTAATGCCCGCAGCTCACAAAGTAGAATTTTTGCTCACGGGACTCCACAGCTTAGAGGGAGCGTTGGTTGGGGGTGTCCTAGGAAGGTGGGAGGGAAGAAGGGTGGCCGTTCCTCCAGGCTGCAGGCGAGATGTAGCCCACCCCCCCTCCATCACCTTCCCTGGCCGCCGAGTTCAGGCCGCAGTCCCCTCCTCCCATCTCTTGCGCAAGGCTCCGCACTTTAGACTTTCCTACCTGCTGCCTTCGGGAAGCTGTGAAGTGGGGAGGGATATGTGTGTGGGGGGGATGGGGGGAGTCAGCACACCCAAACTTTCTGGAAGTCGACTGGGGCCAAAAGGATTCAGAGCCTAGGCTGGGGGGCACGGCCAGGCCCACGTTTCGAGGGGGGGCGTCGTCCTCTTCGAGTCCCAGGGTATCAGTGTCCAAGGGTATAGCGGGAAGGGGGGGGCAGCAGCATCCATACGAGGCGGGAGGCTGATGTGTCTGTTCAGGGGCACTTCCGCTCCACGCACTGCTTCCCCCCTTCTTCATACTCCTGTTTGGAAATCCACATTTGCTGGAAGGTGCCCTGGAGAGAAGACAAGGGAGAGGAGAGGAGCCTGGGGGCCCTTCCCCCCCGCCCCTGAGAAGCTGCTCTCCTGCCCCCACCCCCCATGAGCCCAGGGTCTCGGTTCCCAGGAGCCCGCTCCTCCTCTCAAGGAGCCCCCCACTCACTAGAGAAGCCAAGATGGACCCCCCAATCCAAGGGCTGAACCTCCTTTCCATGGTGCTGTTGCTGGCGATGAGCTTCAGCCGCATGCTCTGGTTGGGACGAGGAGGGGAGAAACAGAACAGCGGGTATTAAAGTCCCCTCTTGTGCCCTCCGCCGCCAGAGGGAGCCACCCCAAGGGGAGTGCTGCTGACAGTTGCTTCCGCACCAGAATGCTTTAGTGCTGCTTGCTAGTTCCTTGAGATGACCCACTTGGAGAAAGTTGGACCCAAAGAAGATCAGTAACAGACACACACGCACACACCCCGGCGGGGGCGGCCTGCATGACCCTTCATGTAAAAATCTCCCGTGGCAATCCGGCATTGTGTGCCTCCGAGCTCACTGAGAGTCATGGTCCCCCCAGGGGGCTCCCTGCAGCCATCCCTTTCCGCCTCTCTCCTTTCTGCCTCTGGGTCCCGGTCTAATTAATTACTTCCTGCTCAAACAGTCGTGGCCCACAGCAGTCCTCAGTGGATCTTGAGCCTGCCTTTGTGGCAGGGCGTGTCTGGGAAGGCATTAATTATGAACGTCCTCCTTCCAGGCCAAAAGGCGTCTTATTAATGTTTTGTTTCATTACTGTAATTGAACAATTATGAAATTATTCTTGTGGAAATGAATGACCAAACATTTTGGCTGCAAAGAGGGAAAGCAGGCCTCAAAGCTGCTTGCTGTGCGTGAAGAAGAAGAAGAGGAGAAATTGGATTTATACCCCTCCCTTCACTACCCGAAGGAGTCTCAGAGCGGCTGACAAACTCCTTTCCCTTCCCCTCCCCACAACAGACACCCTGAGAGGTAGGTGGGGCGGAGAGAGCTCTGACAGAAACTGCTCTTTTTCGAGAACAGCTCTTATCAGAACTAGGGCTTGCCCCAGGTCATCCAGCAGGTGCAAGTGGAGGAGTGGGGAATCAAACCCAGTTCTCCTAGATTAGAGTCTGCGCACTTAACCACTACGCCAAAATGAGAGTCAGAGTCAAGCTGAGAAACTGAAGCCACCAAGAGGGAAGGAGCCGCATTTAAAGGGACAGTGGCCACTGGAGGCCTTCCACAGCTGAGAGAGAGATGGAAACCTTACTTTAACAGATCACAACACTGAGCCCTAAATCACACTCTCCCATTTGGTTCTGGTGGGCTCAGCCGCCAAGCCATGCTTGGTGAACGGCACTGGAGAGAGGATCGCCTGGACCTTTGGCTGGTCCATCTCCAGCCCAGAGGCACATGATGCTGCCATAATGCCGAATGAGAGCACCAGTCCATCAAGGTTGGTCTTGTCTACTCAGACCGGCAGTAGCTCTCCAGGGTCTGAGGCAGAGAAAGGCCTTTCCCATCACCACCTGCCTGATCCCTTTCTCCTGCTCTGCTGGAGGTGCCGAGCAGAGACTCTTCCGCTGAGCCACGGCCCCCCTCCAGCGGGACACCTTTGCAAAGGCCCCCCATGCGGCCTGCAGTCTTCCTAGCGTAGCTGCCCGTACGGAGCCTAATCCGGCACCTGCTTCAGCCACGGGCATTGTTTTGAAATGTCCACACCCCTTGGTGCCTTCACCACCCTCCCTCCACCTTGCCTCCAGAAAGGCAATTTGGGACAGCCGAGCAAACCGAGAGTGCCGCGTATCCTCTTGACCTTGTATAACCCAGCCGGAAGAACAGCTCTATGTGACCTGAGAGCCTCCATCCTACATTTCAAACGCTTTCTGGCTCAAGCCAAGGTGGCCTTCCCCTTATTCTCTGCTGTGCGTTACAGACCCTGACCCCACCCCACTCCAGCTCGCTCACACGCTCACCGGTGGCGTTTTCTGTGACAGTTCTCGGTTGAGGCGATCTGTAAAACCTTGCAGCAAAGTGGTTCCGCCGGTGACGATGACACTGCCGTAGAGACCCTGCAGAGGAGGGAGACCGGAGGAGCTGGTGGTCACCCCTGACCAACTCCACAGCTTAGAGGGCACATTGCCCCTGACCCCCCTCCCTCAGGCCTTCACTGTGGCGTCTCCCCTCTCTGCTTTTCAACAAGAACAGGACTCTGTTGCCGGAGCCCTTCCTTCTTGTCCATTCCCTGCCCACTGGGACGTGTCTCCGCACACAGCAGGGAAGTTGGATTTCCTCATTCCAAAGAGAGAACTTAATGTTCGTGTGTGTGTGTGTCTGTTTTTAAATCTTGTTGTGAACATGCTGCTGTTATTAACTGTTGTTAGCCTTCCTCCCTTGTTTTGGTGTTGTACGTTTAGGTAGGTTTTTACGATATATTTTATAATTTGAAATGGTTGGGGATCCGGCATTAGCCACTTGTTAGCCGCCCTTAGCCGCTTGGAAGGGCAGGATATAAATCTCAAAATAAATAAATAAATAAATAAATAAAACGCTTTTAAATAAATGTGTGGAAGCTTTCAGGCAGCACAGAACTGTTCAGCTAGATCTAAGATAAACACAGCAGAATTGTGGCCTGGTTATCAGTGGGATTCAGTGGCTGCAACCCTCGTGTGCCACCTTTTGAACTTCTGCCCACTGTTCAATTGGGCATTTCCATGCTGGCGACGCCCTTTTCGGTCCCTCGATCCAGCCACTTGTGGGCCTAGGCAGGAGTCTTCTGTTCTTATAGAAAGGTTAAAGCGCTTGGAGCTCTTTAGCTTGGAGAAACTATGGCGGAGGGGTGACATGATCGAGGTTTATAAGATTATGTGTGGGTTAGAGCAGGTCGAGAAAAAGGTCCTTTTCTCCCTTTCTCACCATACAAGAACTCGTGGGCACGCCATGAAATTGCTGAGCAGTTGGGTTATAATGGATAAAAGGAAGTCCTTCTTCACCCAAAGAGTGATTAACACACGGAATTCACTGCCACAGGAGGAGGTGGTGGCGGCTACAAGCACGGACAGCTTCAAGAGGGAATTGGATAAGCATATGGAGCAGAGGTCCCTCAGTGGCTAGATAGGAACTCTCAGTCTAGGGTAAGTGATGCACTGTATTCTTGGTGCTTGGGGGGGGGCAACAGCGGGAGGGCTTCTAGTGTCCTGGCCCCACTGGTGGACCTCCTGAGGGCACCTGGTATTTTTGGCCACTGTGCGACACAGAGTGTTGGACTGGAGAGGCCACGGGCCTGATCCAACATGGGCTTCTCTTATGTTCTTAAGAGGGCAGAATTAGAGGAGAAGGAAGGGAGTGACTCACCGGCCGGATGTCAATGTCGCACATCCCGATGCTGGTCGTGACCACGTGGCCGACCCCTAACATCGTGTTCCCAGACAGGCCCTAGAGACAGGGACACAAGCAAATACACAGACTTGCCCTGCCTTTGTACTCCCCCCCCCAGTGCTCCCGCTC